TACAGGTAGTTTGCATAATACTTACTTCAGCTTTGTATATAAATATTTCACTGAAGTAATATCAGATCCAGAAGCATCATCCTTCTTCTTTGTTTTGTTCTTCTTGTTGACGCCAGGGAGGGAGATGTGCTGTCCTTTATGTTGCACTGCATACATTCAGAAGTTCCCCAAAATGCTGCTTTCATCCTTGAAGAATACATTTAATCTTTGGAATCACTTTGAGGGGAACTACAGGTAAGGTGCACAGGTGTAGAAATGCTTCTGTGGACAGGACCAAATTACCCGATCTCATGATGGCTAGAATCACCCTAAATTTCTTAGCCAGTAAAGTGCTATTGCTTTGATCTCTCTCACCAGACGCATCTCTTCTCTAGCAGGCAGCAGAACATGTTGACAGTTGTAGGTTGTTGCTTGTCACGTTCATTAAGCAATGAACAGTGTTCTTTAATCAAGGTTGTTACTGGTTTGTTTGTTTTTTTCCAGTGCTGTAGTATGCAATGACATGTTAACAGGATGCTGAACGACACCCAACTCCTGCATGCCACCTTTGCATAGAGGTCTGTCGTAATGCCCACTTCGGTGGGGACAAGTTTACTCTGTCTTGGTGACCAAACACCACGTTTTTTCTCATCTTTCTCGTTATTATGCTCCAGTCATGTTTGGACCAGAGAGCTCTGACTGTGTAGCATCGGAGATGTGCTCCAGAGGAGCTCACGGGCACAGAAGGTGCAGCGGAGGCTGCTGGCTGGATGAGCCATTAGCCACAAGGGGGAGGTAGTATTTAATAATACAAAGCACCAACTGCTTTAGCTGAGGATTTTGTTCTGATTGTGTAATTCCCGTTTAGAAGCGAGGTGTCGCAGGAATACAAACCCGCAGGAGCAGTTATAATGAGAAGGGTCAAGAGGCGTTTTTCCAGCAGCTGGACGGCTCGGGCTGGGATCAGCCTGGAGCACGGGGCTGTTCGAGGTGCATGACAGCAAATGTCCATCACCGCAGGTCTCACAATCCCTCTGCACTCTTCAAACTCTTCTGCGGACTCTTTTATTTCCAGAGGCACCATTTACTTTCAGTTGTTTGGTTGTTACTTTTAGTATTATACACCGCAGCTACCACTTTCAGGGCTATTTTACCAGTACTGTTTCATCTTTTCACTTTCTCCAGTGGCTATCAATAATCTGTCCATGATTAGTCTTTTTGTGCAACTCCTTCCACAGTAATTTCTCAGACAGTGGTACCTTGTGAGTAGGATTATATACTACAACAGTGCTTGTCCACTTAGAATAAATCTTGCCATTTAGAATAAAGCTTGTCCACTTACCATAAAGCTTGTCAGCCACCACCCTTAGTGCTGCTGTACACCCACACCCTTACTGTAGCTGATCACGTGTATGAGCTGGGAGGGGTGACCATTTTTTAACAGCCCTTCTGATGCTAAAGTCCAGGCTGCACCCTTCATATCTGCATGGTTCACCAAGTATGTGAGTCTTGGTAGGTCTTCAAAGCTGTGAGCTTTCTGTAAAGGTTTTGACAGTGCCTTTCCCATGCAGAAAACTAAGAATCGAGTTTCAATATTCAGATTTAGATGTCCCTGTCCAGAGGCAAATTTTCAACCTGTGTTATTTTTTTCAGAGTCTCCTGGAGCAATTGTGTTCAGCTTATATTGAACACCTTCCAGTGGCTGCGACCATTGATTGCTTAAGAGTCATGGGTGGGGTTGATGAAAAAGCCATGACATTTCTCCCCCTGGGGTTTTAGGTCAGCACACTCACTGAAAGGTTTCTACAAGGGAGACAGTGTTTTACATCCCCTCCCACGTGTTGCTTGGTGGGACCAGGTCATCATCAAAGGCCAAGGTGGCAATGTGGTTTTGCCACATTGTGGCATTTGCTCTGGTGGAATCCATAGCCACCTTTTTCCAGGTTGCAGGGTAATGGATTGATTGAGTGACATTGGATCCTCTTGTTTGACTCTGACCTTGATGGTAATTGGCTCAGCATGATTCTTTTTCAATTCCAGATGAGTGTTGGCACTTCCAGATGAATTTTCATCTGACCACATGCTCAGATAGTTCTTTTTACTTCAAAACCAGTCAGTATGTTCATGTGTCCCTGAGTAGGAGGCCTCAGCCAGTCCTGTGAATACTGTCCACAAGGGCTGTGTTTTTTCCTAGCATATTGAACGACGAGTTGGGAGTGATTTTACCTTCTCAGAGCACTCAGGTTCAGCTATAAGGTCTCTTTGTCACCCACTGGCCATTAATAGGCCAAGCTTTTGTTACTCTGGTTGTCAGAATCCATGGAAAGAATATTAAGATGGTTGATCAGATTCTGATAGGTCTCTCGGTTTTGCCACGTAACTTGATTTCAGTATCAGAACAGTTCTGTGTTCCCTGATACTACCCCGTACACATGTTGCATAAGTCAGAATTCTGCTAATACCAGCCCTTTGGTGGTCTGCCTGTACGAGGTCAGGCGCTGAGGTTTTACTTGTTTCTTTTACCTCTTAAAAAATGTGTTATCAATTTAAAAGGCCAATTTGTCCCTTTCCAAGATTTTGAAACTCCTCTGTGCTGAGAAATGGTTTCTTACCCTTACCCTCTTGGACTTTACTGACTGAATATACTGCTGCACACATTCACAGGCGGAACTTTTATTATTTTTATCGGGTTGTTTTGCATAGGATAACGCCCGCGGGGGGAATTGAATCTCTTGACCAAGATGATTGGTTGCTGCCTGGATGCTGCTCTTGCAAACACCCCTGCAATGATGTCTTCAGCTAGACGGACTGAGACCCCCCCAAACTGTTGTTCTGGTGAATTCTTATAACCCGGCTGGCCCTGTGCACCTGTATGACCACTACAGCACATGTATGATCAGTTTTTGTTGATTGACTTAAACTATGTAAGAAAGACATCTACAACAGAGCCAAGTGCCCACCCTTGCAGAGGCAGGAACAGTTTCCATTGCCTATATAAGATTACGCGTGATTTGATCAATTCCTTAGTCAACAAGAGGAACCGCCTGGGGAAATCCCTGGCTGTGAGCTGGATCCTTCCCCCCAAGCCGTTAAGCAATATATCTAAACATATAGATAGCGCCTATCAGCTGAAAGAGCAGAGCTTCTGCCTATCAGCAGGAGCTCCCTGAGGAAACCTCTGGGGTGGCCCCAGCTGCTGGGAGAGCACCTGCAGCCATCAGGCAGTAGTTTTGCTGTGAAGCAGCTGGCGGTACCAGTTGATCTCCTCATTGCCAAGCTACCCTAAATTTCAGTGAGTCACTTCTTTGCGGATCCGTCTGTTGTGGCAGCTATGAGGTGATTAGCTGGGTTGCTCCTGGACCAGGCAGTCAAGTACATGTCTTTGGCATGTGCACAGGTGAAGCCTTCATATCCAGCTGCACCACAACTGTAACTATGGAGTAAACTTGAATGTCATCCTTTTATCAAAGCTATAACTTAAATTCCTTTTCTTTTGCCACAATACCCAAACTGTTGACCACTGTTTCTGCCTGAATTAAAGAGCAAGAGGTAATAGGTGGCTTCCTAAGACCCTTCCCTTCAAGGGGACTTGAACAGAGCTGTCACTTCCAGAACACAGCATCCCTTTGAGCAAGACATGTTGTCATGCCAGCAGTCTTCTGGCAGCTCCCATTTAGGCAAAAGGAGCTGGAGAAGGCCAGACCCTCTGGGCTGCTCCTCTTGACCTGCTCCCCTTCAGGAGCATTTTCTAAAGAAGGTTTCCTTTTTCTAGCACTCAGTCCAAGTTCTGTGAAGCCCAGAGCGTGTTTTGTGTTTCTCGTGGCATTGCATGTACCCAGGACAGCACCTGTGTCGCACGATAGGTCAAACAGAACATGTTTTTTGCTTTTATTGAAAGCATGAGATACCTCAGGGCGTTTCCTTACCTGTCTAAATGTAGAAAGTCAAACTAATGCAGCTATTGCCCTGCAGGGTACAGACTGGGGACAACTTAGCTGTGAAGCAGTGAAACCCACATCTGCAGCTGCTTGCAGGGCACACCCCACCAGGACCCAGGGGAGGCTGAAGATTTCCCTGAGGGACCGTCCCACCTTGGATGCCTGTGAGGCACCTGGAGCCCCATCCACCAAACCCAGCTCCGCTACCACAGCCTCCAAGTGTGAGTTTTCTTTTGGAAAGGGGCCCGCTGCCCTCCGTTCCACAGCAGCCCTAGGATGCCTCTCCCAACCTGCATATTACAGACTTTCAGGGAAGGCTGTGACCCACAGATGTGTGAACCACCTGAGCAATAAATGCATTAACAAGAAACCCCGAACTCCAAGACTTGAATTGTATGGTAGTTTTAAACTGAAGTTATAATAACAAATCTGAAGTTGTAATAACAATACCAGCTCTTGTTCTCAGCTTGATAACAAGCTGTACTCTTATTTTCTAACGTTTAACAAGGATAGCATGCTCCATGTGAAGGTGAGGGATGAGTAAATGTGAAGGATTGTGTCAAATGCAAAGAGATTAAGGATCTTTTATGAAGGGAACAAGGACTCCCAGAGTATGTGAACAATGTCCAAGAGCAGCTGGATTGCAGTTCTTCATGGAGAGCAGGAAAATGAGAAAATCCACATAGGGAAATGAGAAGGAGCTGACATTTGAGGGATTCCAGAGGAAGGCAGAATACCCTGCATAACAGACAGAAGGAATATCCCAGTCTTTCAATGGGATGGTCATCTTCACTCACTCATCTTTAGTTAAAGCTGGTGCACTTACCTGTGTAATGATGCCATTCTTTCCTAAGAAAGAAAAAAACCTTTCCAACATATCCTCTTCTCAGCACGAAGACCAAAACTTTTCACGAGCCAATTTAAAAATGGTCCAATTTATAAAACCTTAAAATTGTGCAATTTGCTTAGAAAGTTGGAATAAAATAGTGAATTCCCCCCCCCCCTTGTCCAAGTTACAAAACAGTGCAGAAATATGTAAGGGGTTTTATTGTTATTGTTTAACAGGTGAGTGACCATTTTCATAATCAAAAAAAAAAGTTCATTAAATATTCTGAAAATAAATTATTCTTGCATTCTACATATATATGGGCATTTCCAAACAAATAACCAATCCAGAATAGTTGTGGGGGAAGATAAAGCTCTCAACAGAACTGTCAACATAACAACCTACAAAGGGGGAATGTTTTCAAAGTAACCAACAAACATGAGTTTTGATAGAAACTAACAGGACCAGTAACTTCTATGCCAGTTACATACTTTTAAAAATCCTGCTCAAGTAACTCTTCAGTCTTAATATACTGGTCTGCAAAGTGTCCATGAACAATAGTTCAACAATTAGTTGTACAAATAAGTGAGATTTTAAAGAAGTGAAAGCGAGTATCAAACATTTATTACATTGCATCCAACCCTGTACAGTTGAGCATAGAATGCTTCAACTTACATATTTATACTGAAAAAAGTATTTTATCCTCTTGATTACATTTTCCTTAAACATTTGGAGTGATGTCAGTGACAAACTATGAGAAAACTGAAAAAGCATAAAATGTTTGATCTTTTAATATTAAGAGCTCATGAATATGTACAAAGGCAAGGCATGAGTCTTAAATACCTTGGCATTGATTCACTGGCTGCTGTTTGTCAGCTGAGTTGCTTAACTGCCTGTACGTGCAGAATAAATGCGCCACAGGTGTCTGCTCAGACACTTTCCACATCCTGGAGGCATTACACACAGGGTAATTAGCTGTTCAGATGAATTTGGTCTACTGGGCAATTCGGGCACGTGCATATGGCCAGCTACAGCAGCTTGGCTTGGGCTGTCACACATGAGTAGCAACTCAATTGCATTCTCATCTCCCAACCCGCATATGCATGGCATCCAGACAAATTTTGGCCTTTCTGGTGTTTGTGATAGTATCTCTTTGCTTTTTTTTTCAGTCTGTCTACTACAATTCTATGTAAAAAAAAAAAAAAAAATCAGTACATAAGAGACTAATAAATCAATAAAACAGTGTCGTTAGCACCACTGAGGTGAGCAAAATCACAACTGGAAAACCGAGCAGTTGGGAAACATTCTGTTTAAGAATTTTGTTTCATGTCAGATATTTTGGCTGAGTAACTGGATTAGGTTGTGCACACTATCTCAAAAGATTTATTTGATGTCTTCTGTTCCCAGACTGAAATGAAACCAGAAGGAAATAATAAGAGAAAAACCCGTATCTGCTGGAGTTCTTTGTTAAACTTGGATGGGCATTCACTTAACTGGAGTGCTTCTGGGCCACGGAGTAGCTGATTGCCTAGAGCAAATGTGTTTGTCAGGTCTAGCAATCAGTAAATAACCGCTAATTAAAGAACTGACAACCTACCAACACTAATCAAAGTCAGGTAATAGAGAAGACCAGATGTTACAAACAAAAGGGCAAATACTGCCCCTTTGAGGTCCAAGGCTGGATTAGAAAGGAGGAAGAAAAAAAGTTATTCTCCAAAATACATGGCACATTTGAAAAAGAAGGTGGTTCCTACTGCTACAAGGATCCAAAGAATACTCAAAGTTTTAAGGGATTTCAAGCATGGAAATGCGCTGGGGTATTTTTTTATGAAGTGGTGAACCATAAGCTCAAAACTTAAAAGTTGCAGAAAAGCATACTTCAGTTCTGGGAGAACCGAGACAGGGAGGGAGGGAGGTACTGGCTACCAGTGCAGGCTGCATTTAGGTTCCTATCTGTGAATAACAAACAGGACCTGTCCAAGGAACAGAGCCAGGTGCAATGGCTGTAACCCACAGATGTTCCTGCAAGCTAACCAGGCAGCAGCCGGTGTGCTGGGATGGAGGGGCAGCAGCACGGTGATGCCTGTAATGGAGGCACACTGTTGGGTTACAACCAAGACCCTGACTAAGAGAAAAACATAAGTATTCTTAACATATCTCCAGTATGATGAGAATGTAACTTTGAATTTATACACTCTCTAGTATTCAAGCATGGATTCCTAGCTCCAATGAGACTTCCATCAACCTGTTTCTTTATGTCTTATTTTTAATTAGTATCTTTTGGATGCTTCCTTCATAAAGTACTATTTGTATATTAAGCTGGAAGACAATGCAAGACTGATTAATTTGAAACATGATCATACTATTCCCCCCCAGAGAATGCTAATACATACATTTATACACATATTCACACATACATGTATTTATATAAATGTACGTATATATACAGGTAGGATTTATGTGACAACCACCTTGCTCAAACATGGTCTCTTCCAAACATCTGACTCAAAATCAGTCTTGCTTAAACAAACAAACAAAAAATTAAAAAAAAAAAAATAGCATTGAGACACCATGTAAAACATCAGGTATAAGGAGAACAATGTGCTACCCCACTTGGGGGAGACAAATCACACTTCTTCTGTCGATGGAGTATGACCATCAACTAGGTAAATCACTCTAAATGGAGTTCTGTTTTGCTGCTTCTGATCACTATGGAAGCTGGCGTATCTCTATACTACACTGCAGTCTGCAATACAAACACACTCACAGAGTTTAAGAGCATGCATAGCTCACTGGAGCATCTGTTGTTAGACAGTGAAAGGAAAGGCACCAACACCGAACATGTCCCATGCAAATACAAAGTGCAACGAGGAGGAGAAATGGATACACAGTAGGAGAATTTAACAGCTTCAGACTGCAACTGTGATTGTCCCTACTATGCGTGGCGCATCACATGAAATCCCATGACTTCCCCCCACTTATTGTTTTCCTAACATGGCCTTTTCTGCCCTCTTGAACTTCTGTAGTTCAATAGCAAGTTCCCAGTGTCTCAGATACAGCCACATAAGTCTTCCATTTTGACTTTTGTTTCTGTTCAGCACATTACCACAGTAGTTATCATGTTTGAAAATATCTTTTAAGCCACTTTCCATATGTAGAGCCATAGCAACAGGATCAGTTGCCGCTTTAACTAGCAGATTTTTCTCTATTTCTAGTCTCTGGCTCCTGGGTACCACAAGACTGCAGTAGATGTCCTGTCTTTCTTTAAGTCCCTCTTCAAATTCTTTTAGTAAAATACTGGCTCTCTTTTGCCACTCTTCTTCCTTTGCCAGGCAACTTTGGTACAAGCTACCTGCTGCTCCTGAGTGCAAAAGGACTTGTTTCTCTCGCTCTAACTTCTCCTGCTCCTGTTCTAGGATCCTTCTTTCTTCTACGAGTTTGCGACTCTGAGACACGAGGGCTTCGCGGTAACTCAGGGTTCTGTTGCGTTCTTTTTCAAGCTCCAACTCCAAGTGAGCGACTGTGCGACGACTTTCTGTGATTATATCATGGTATCTGGCTTCCAGGTCTTTTTGCAAAGATGAATGTTTTTTATAATATTCTTTTTTTTCTCTTTCTATTTCTTTTTGACATTCTCTGGTCCAGATCCAACCTATCACATATAAATGAGACTTCAGACACGAGTATAACGCATGTGACATTGATGGGTATGATTAACTAACTATGCCTCTAAAGAAGCTATTAAGTGGTTAGCAAACTTTTTTTCCTGCCCTCCCCAGTGATATTCACTACTATTCACATGTCCCACAAAATGTATTTCTGTGGGTCCGTGTTTCACAATCAACTTTAAATGATTGTTTCCTTTGAAGTAAAATCTCCCCTAGTCTTTCATTGCTAATATAGACACCTCTTGGATTAAAGAAGGAAAATAAAATTATGGGGAAACAAACTGGAGGTTTCCAGTGCAGGAACTGCCCTGATAACTTTTCAGGTCCGGTAAATGAATATACATAGCAGCTCCTTGGGCTGTTACCTTTGGGCTCTCCAGCACATCATACGCCTGCTCTTCCAAGACAGCTTTCTAAACCGGAGCTTAGTAAATATGGGTTCAATTCCACGCGTGAAAAATGGCTGTTGCCTCAATGCTACGAACAGTGCTTACTGTTCCCAACACTACAGATGAGGAGGCCAGAGGAAATGCCTAGACAGGGCACCACCGTATCGCTGCACCGCCTCAGGGTCTCCCCTCCGGCAAGCACAGCCACCCGCCCCAGCTCCGGCGGCCAGGCCTGGGCCCTACTTACGGAAGGCGGCCAAGCCCAGCATGGGGACCAGCAAGGCGTAGTTCCATCTGCTGCCTTCGTCCCCGGGCCCTCGTTGATTTGGCAGGATGTTCCAGTTGGGAGGGTCGTTTAAGTTTATCGCTGCACCGCCTCAGGGTCTCCCCTCCGGCAAGCACAGCCACCCGCCCCAGCTCCGGCGGCCAGGCCTGGGCCCTACTTACGGAAGGCGGCCAAGCCCAGCATGGGGACCAGCAAGGCGTAGTTCCATCTGCTGCCTTCGTCCCCGGGCCCTCGTTGATTTGGCAGGATGTTCCAGTTGGGAGGGTCGTTTAAGTTATTCATGGAGGCACCTTAGGGGTACAGGAGCGAAGCGCGGCCTCAGCCGCAGGCAGGGGCGCGGGGGCGCCCCCCCACCCCCCCCGCAGCGGACC